CCGCTGCAGGATGCTGCGGCGGCGGCGCAGGCTGCGGCACCTGCGCCTTCTGCTGGCTCGGCAGGTCGCCCGTGGAAGGAAGCGAGTTCCGCCATTGCTTGAGCTGCACGCAGCGGGAGGCGGGGCGGAACGGTGCCAGCGGGGACCTGGGCGTGAGCAGGGCGGGAGCTCCGGTCCCAGCAAAGGGCAGAGCATGCGGCTGGCTGGCAGGGCGGCGTGCAGAGGGAGGGGCGTGCTCGCAGCAGGTGCGGCCGGAGGGCGGGGCGGGGCGGGAGGGAGGGAGGGAGGGAGGGAGGCGCACCTTTTCCGCCAGCTCAGGTGAGATCAAGTTTGTTGGCATCAAGCTGTGCCCCAGGTTGGGCTTGGGGATCTGCATGCAGGGGCGCACAGCGCGGTGCATGAGGCAGCAAGCAGCCGAGGCTGGGCAGCGCGCCCGCGGGAGCAGCACACGGAGCTGGGAGGCAACCTGGTGAGCAGGTGGGGTGAGGGCTACGCCGACCAACACACAATGGGCATACACCCGCGCCCCAGCCCCCCCAAAACATGCAGCCATGCAGATGACTCCCTTACCTTTTGCGCCTTCTCAAAAAACAGCGGGTCCTTGACATCCAGCTTGCTGACCTGCAGGCAGGCAGGCAGGCAGGCGGGCTTGGAGTCAGGTGCGCAGGTAAAGGTGGCAGGTGCGCAGGCCGGCATGCGACCCGTGTTGCAAACACGCGGAATAGCTGACTGGGCACAGCTGCCGTACCACGCAGCTTCCCCTCACCTCTGCCTGGTACCGCTTCATCTCCGCCATAGTCTCCGGGGTCAGCAGCTGCGCCTTCAACTTGGGGATCCTGCGGCGGGCAGGCAGGGCAGCGGAGCGAGGGCATGCGCTGGAGCAAGCTGGCGCGTGCAAGGCTACACCCCGCAAGGGGCGCTCGTCCAGACGATGGTTCCTAGCCGGCTGAATCCCCAGAGCTCTGGAACAGGCAGGCTGGGAGGCAGGGGGTGGCGGGAAGGCGGCAGCCCAGGCACCGGCAGGCGGGCAGAGGCCGCAGAGGCTGGGAGCAGCATGCTGGTGCGCACAGTGGCACGCAGACGTCCAGCCACCGGCACTCACAAGCTCTGCACATCAGCCAGCAACGAGGGCGGCACCGGCGGCAGCTTGATGTCTCGGCTAGCCATGGCTTGGAGATGCGCCGTTCTGACCCCTGGGCAGGAGGGAGCAGGCCAGAGGAGGGCGGGGCGGGCACGGCAGGGGTTGGGTGGCGGGCTGTGATGCGGCAGACGGATGGGAGCGCGCGAAGGAGCCAGAGGCAGGGGCGGGAAACATGCGGAGCAAGAGAAGGCTGCTGGATGCTCAAGGGCAACAGGTTGGCAGGGGCGGTATGCCCGGGCAATGCCTTGCCAGTGGCTGCACCCCGCCCAACCAGCAGGACAGCACCCACCTGAGCCTGCGCCAAGAGCGGCGGCCATGAAGCCGGGGATCGACGCGGGTGTAGGCTGCGCCGGCGCAGCAGCCGCTGCCGAGGTGGATGGACCCGCTCCGGATGCGCCGGGGGTGGAGCCATGTGGTGGCGGTTGGGAGCCGTTGCCGCCAGCCGCATCGGCCATGGCTGGCTGGCAGGCCGCGTGGTGCTTGGGTTTGGGGCTTGTTCTTGCCACGGGTGCTGAGGTGGGAGTTGGCGCGCTTCAATTGGGGGAGAGGGTGAGCCGAGGCCCTGCGCAAGCAGGGAGCAACCGAGCGGCGGGAGGTGGGTGGAGCACGTGGCTGCAGGGCGCTGGGGCGCTGGCCCGGGCAAAGAGCGCGATGACTGGCCGCGAGATCATCTCCAGGCAGCCTCGATGCAATCAAGCAGAGCGCACAGGCACCATCCCGCCAAGCGGTGGTGGGGGAAATGGCAGGGCCGCAAAGAGAGGTGCGCGCTGCCTCGCGGCCCCTCAAGCGCCGATTGGCAACGCTTGGCAGGACCCTGGGGTCGCCAGCGACGCGAGGAGCGGCGATTGCGAGGCGCCAACATGGTGATCGCACTGTGCCAGTTTGTTTCGTGCCAGGCCTTCCGTACTGCGCGTTTTCCAGTGCAATCCATTGCGAAGTAGGCATAAGACGGACTTTCGGGCCTCGTCGCGGGGTGGGCAGAGGGCAGCCGGGTGCTTGGCCGCCAGGGCTCCAGGAGCTCTCGCACCCAGACCGACAAGTCAAGGTGAATGCGAAACAATATTTTCGAGCGCAGTGGCACCTTTGGGGCGGGGTGCGCAGCCGCCGACGAGCCCAGGTTCGAGAGGCGCTCGCGCGGGGCCCCTGGCGCTGGTAGGCAGTGGAGACGGTAGTTCGAGCTCGTGAAGCCAGGGCTGGGGTGCAGTGCAGGCCCCGCCCACCTCCCTCCCAATCACACCCCGCCTTGGCTCACCTGGCCGCTTCGCCACACGGCCTGGAGCTCCGCGATGATATCTCAACCTGAGGATGATCGAGAGCTCTCGACCCGCTCACCAAGTCACCCCGCATGGGTGCTTTGCCGCTCAGCATTCACAGCAGGCGAGCGGGCGGCCAACTGAGGGTCCAGGAACACATTTGCCCAGGCATTGGTGGCCGATCCCAAATCACTACCAACAGCGGAGATGCCTCCCAGCAGGCTGCCCCCAGTACTGGCAGATCTGCTCCCTGAGCTTCCGCAGCAAAGGAGGCACAGCAAGGGCAGGTTGCCAGTGGGTGCAAAAGGCGGCAGGTCCATCAAGGAGACTGGGGGTGGGCAAATGAGCACAGGTGAAAGCAACATTTATTGGGGAGTTTCATGCAGGAAGCACTTCGGCAGCAGAAAATCATGTGACGGGGAACAGCGTGCAGGTTCAGACAGCGATCAGAGGATTAGCGCTCATTTCAGCAGGCAAGCGCTCGGCCAGGCGATCTTGTGCACACTAGGGCAGTACCCTGGCGTCAGCGCTGCTGGTGCCGCCGGCGACACCCAGGTCTGGCGCTGCCTCCGCTGCTGCTGCTGCTGGCTGCTCAAGCACCGCCCCTGGGCTGGCCTGGCCTGCTGCCGCCGCACCCGGCGCCGCATCGTCGCCAACGGCCGCACCAGCACGAGCGGCAGCAGTGGTGGGCGGCGGCGCGCCGCTCCTGGCCACCTCCACCCCCTGCAAGTCCTCCTGCCGGCGTTGCTGCCGCCGCCAGCCCCGCCACCACCTGTCGGGCCCCACCAGCGGCACCAGGGGCCGCCCGCCGGTGGCCGCATCCGTCACCGCATCTGCAGCGCCACTAGCCACATCTGCCGCAACCGTCAGGTATTCTGCCGCCACTTGGCCGGTGGCCGCTGCCGCATCCGCCGCAAAGGCGGCCGCCTCCTGGCCCAGGCCCCGCGCCCCCGGCGGGTACTTGCTCTGCCGCCTGCCATCCTCGCCATCCTCGCCATCCTCGCCCTCCCAGCTCCCCAGCTCCAAATCCAGGTGGCAAGCCGGCACCTTGCCGACTTGCTCCCCGGGGACTTCCTCCTCCTCATCAACCACCTCCAGCTCTGCCGACGGCGTCGCCCCGGAGCACAGCGACAGCAGGCGGGTGGGCACGCCGCTGAGCGTATGCATCGCCTGGCGGCCCCCCTTGGTGGCCTGCAGCAGCAAGGGGCGGGCCGGTGGTGGCGTCGGTGGCCGTCGCGGCGTCACGAGCGGCGCGCAGGATGGAGCTCACGCACGCCCGCTGCTGGAGCGTTGCTGCCCAGCCCTGTGCCAGATCCGTGCCAGCCGCGCTGTCCCAGAATACACACCCACGGGCAACACGCACCACCCACCTTGCGGCGCACAAGCGGCTTCTCCGACGATTCCGGCAGTACCGTGGGATCCCGTAGCGAGGTGAGGTCCACGTTCCGCAGCAGCAGCAGGGTGCCCAGGTCTGCCGCCAGCGCCAGCGCCGCCGCCCCCGCCTCGCCGCCCGGCAACCACTTGCTGCTGCTGAACTGCAGGGCGGGCGGTGCAGGCGGTGGGGGGTGGTGGGAAGAGGGAGCATGGGATCCAACTTTAGAATGTGCAGGCAGGCCGGGCAGACAAGGCAGGACAGCAGGCAGGCAGGCAGGCAGGCAGGCCGAGCAGGGCCGGGCGGCCGCCGCCTGGGCTGCGCGGCCCCCTTGCCTGCGCCTTGACCACTGCCGCTATGGAGAGGGCGTACCGCAGGAGCTGGTGGTGGCTCAGGGCGCCGCTCCTCCTGTAGCGCAGGGCAGGCAGGCAAGGGGTCGGGACGGGCAGGCAGGCAGGCAGGCAGGCAGGCAGGCAGGCAGGCAGGCAGGCAGGCAGGCAGGCAGGCAGGCGGGTTGGCAGGCAGGCAGGAGCATACCACTACCGGCCCAGCAGGCTCAGCTGCCTCGCCACCGCCATCTGCCGGCGCCGCCAGGGGCACACCTCGAGAGCGCCTGCCTGACGGGCACACACACACGCAGCAGGCGCGCTGTTCTTTCTTTCCACCACCAGCGCCAGGCGGGCGGCCCACCTGGACAGCACCTCCCTCTCGAAGAAAGAAGGCCGCACTATGATGTCGCCCCGCGCGTTCACCACAACCGGCTGGCAGCTGTGTCGGAAGCCTGCGGGCCGGGGGGGTGTGGTGTGGGCGTAAGGGAGGGTGCGTGGACAGGGACGCAGGGCAGGGCTGCTCGCGCCGGCGGCAGGGTATGGCGGCGTGAGACTGGCAGCGCACGCCGCAGGCTGCCCGCATCCGAGCCCCGCTAGAACAAGCCGCGCCAGAGCCCACCAAGCAACCACACCCAGCCACAACCAACCACACTTAACCGCCGCCCCGGGCAGCAGTAGCTGCCACTCCGGGCAGCAGCAGCCGCCACCCCTGCCTGCAGCAGCCACCCACCCACGGTCGGTATGCGGGTCACCGGGTCTTGGTCGTTCACAACCGCCCAGCTGTCGGGGACCAGGCAGCGGTACTCTGCGGCAAACGCAGCGTTGCCCACCTGCGGGCGGCGGCAGGGAGAGAGGGATGCAGGCAGGCGGCTGTCAATCACAGTGTGGGTGGTGGTGGTGGTGTGGCTGTCGCTCATAGGGAGGCAGTGGGGGTGCGACGAGCGCTGGCAGCCCTCCAGGGGCCACATCGTGGCGCCGCCCTGCTGCCGGCAGGCGACCCTCTTGCTCCCACCAACCCCTACCCTTCCTGGCCCAGTCCCTGCCCTGTCACGCCACCACACCGTGCCGCCGTGGCCCACCCACCCACAATCACAATCACCACAAACACCACCGCCACACACCAACCGCCGCATCACCCACACTCCCCCAGGCTCCCACCCGTGGTGACCCAAAGGTGTAGACCGTGGTGTAGGCTGCGGGGAAGAGGCGCTGCAGGTCGTAGGCGGCAAGGATCGCCAGCGCCCCGCCCAGCGAGTGGCCTGTACAGGGCGGGGGGCGGCATGATGCAGCAGCAGGACAGCGCAGCGTCACCGCAGCGCAGCACGGCACGGCACGGCACCAGCACTGCGCAGTGCAGCGTGGCACGGCACCAGTGCAAGTGCAACGCAGCGCGGCACCAGCGCAACGCAGCGCAGCACGGCAAAGGCGGGCGAGCGGCCGGGGAGAGGATGCCCAGGCTGCCCGGGGCTGCCGGCCCAGCCTGCCGCCCCACATGCTGCAAGCCGCGGCCAACCTGTGAGGTAGAGGCGCAGGCCGGCGGCGGCGCCGGCGCCGCCCCCAAACCCGCCCACTATCTCCTGGATTCGGCTCAGCAGCTTGTGACGGTCCTCGTTGGCCGTGTAGGCGTGATAGAAGCCTGCGGGTGGGACAGCAGGAGGAGGGAGGGGGGAGGCAGGCTGTGCGGTGGGAGCAGGAGCAGGTAGGAGGAGGTGGGCGGGCCGAGGAGCGCAGGGACACAGGGGAAACGCGGAGGCCCAGCAGGGCCCCAGAAAAGCTTAGGGAGGAGGGATGCCAAGGGCTAGGAGATGAGGGGTTCAGGTGCTGCCGCTCTGTCCACCACCACCACCCGGGACGCCCGCCCCTCCCACCACCACAGCACACCACCCGCCCACCCGCGTGCGCCTTGACCAGCCGCCCGGCGTGGTAGCGGCGCGGCACCACGGGCGTCTGCCACGCCTTCATGTCGGTGACGGCGTTGGCGGCGCTGGCGGTGCCGCGGAAGGCCAGCAGCAGCTGGCCGTCGCGCCAGCTCAGCAGCACGCGCGTGTCGGTGGCGGCATCGTGGAAGGCCTCAAAGTCGGTGAAGCCAAACAGCCGCTGCCCCACACCTTGGTCCATCAGCCCCGCAGCTCCCAGCTGCACCCAGGGGCAAGGGGGCAGCGCATGGGTGGGGCCGGGGCCGCGCCAGCCCAGCCGCGCGAGTGCCGGTGGCCCCCCGCGCGGCGCCGCTGGCGAGACATCCCCCCAGGCCGCCCACCCGCCAGGCAGCGCCAGCAAGCCCGCCAGGCTGCCGGCCCGGCCAGCCAGGGCTGGGTGGCCGGTGCAGCAGCCGGCAGGCAGGGGGGTGCGCCAGCCCGGCGGTACGCCAGCTCACCCAGTGGCGGTACGCATACTTGGCCCAGTAGAAGAACCGTACCGCCAGCTCCAGGCAAAACATGGGGTCGGTGTACTGCTGCTGCTGCAGCTGCGGGTCCACGTGGTGGGGCAGCAGGGAGGAGAGGCGGGAGGCGAGGTCGCCGAGCACGCTGCGCCTGCTGAGCATGCTGTGCCCGTCCTGCCCCCTGGGCTCCCCCAACACGCCCCGCACCCCGCTGTGCTGCCGCTGCGCATCTGTGTGAGGCAGACCCGGCGCCGGGCTGCGCTGCTGCAGGGCTGGCCGGGCCGGGAGCGCCCCCGACGCCCTCCCCTCCTGCTCCTGCTGCTGCTGCTCCTCTTGCTTTCCCACTGCTTCCAACGGGGGGTGCGCCTGCTCGTGCTTCCCGTTGCTCAACTCCTCTGCCTGCTGCTCCTGCTGCTGCTTCTGCTGCTGCTGGGCCGAAGGCCGCACCAGCTCAGCTAGGTTTCGCCCCACATCAGTGGGCACGTGCACCGCCTGCAGGGCGGCGGCGGCAGGATCAGGCAGGGGGAGGGGGGTCGCAACGGCGGCACCGTCGACTCAACCATGCAAGGACAGGATGAGGAGTGGGCCGCAGGTTGCGGGTTGCGGGTTGCGGGCTGCGGTGTGCAGGTCTGGGCTGGGGGAGGGTGTATGACCAGCAAAGACTGCCACATAAGGCACCACCGGCCGCGGCAAAGGCCGGCCAGGCGCCCATCGCGCCCACACCCACCGCATTGGCGTGCCGCCTCACTCCTGACAGCAGCCGCTGCAGGCCCGCCGGCCCGCCCTGGGCCCTGCGCCGCTCCGCCTCCCGCATCGAGATGGCCGCTGGCATCCCCTCAAGCGTCCAGCTGAACCGCTGCATGCAGGTCTGCGGCAGCGGGGGCAGAGGCGCAGGGCATCAGGCGAGCCTGCCCCATGCTCGGCGACAGGTGCCGGGCCACGGGCTGCCAGGCTTGGCCTGCACCCCGGCTGCTGCCTCCTCCGGTGCCCGAGGATCCGGAGGGGGGGAAAGGCAGGCCAGGCCGCTGGCGGCCAGCTGGACCGCACCAAAAGGCAGCAGCCCAGCAGCCCAGAGCAGCAGCCCAGCGCAGCGGTCCAGAGCAGCATGTCCCACGGCAGCCCGTCGCGCCCCAGCCCACCGTCAGCAGGTCGCGCGTGTGCCCCCGCTTGGGCATCAGCGTCACCACATGGACCGACACCAGCAGGGTGAGCGCCAGCTGCGGGTAGAGGCAGGCGGCGTTTGATGTTGGATGCAGGGCTGGAGGGCAGCGGGGAGCAGGCCGCCACGGGCGCGGGGGCAGGGAAGCAGGTGCGCGGCCAGGCAGCCAGCTGGGTCGACGCAGGGGAGGCCAGGGGCAGGGGAGGCCAGGGACAGGGGCAGGCACGGCGCCCGCCGCTCTCCTTCTCCCGCCATTCACACCCATGCACACCATCCACTGCTGCCGCCGCCGCCCCAACCCCAGCCCCACCGCCTGATTTTACTGGCGCCAAGGGCCTGGGGCAGGAAACTGCCTTGGGGCAGGCCCGGAGCGGTGAAGCATTGCAGCGCGGATCGGCAGCGGGCGGCTCAGTGCATTACCTGCACTGGCGCGAGGCCCAGGCTGCCGTCAAGGTACGACCAGCAGCTCTGGAAGTGTAGCGCCGTGAGCATTACAACCGAAAACAGGACCGTCACGAACGCAGCGATGCCGTGCCGCGCCTGCGAGCGGCGGCGGCGGTGGCAGAGTGGGCTCCCAGCCACTCAGGCACCTGCTGGGCTCATCCGAAAGCCGGCGGGGAGCGGGAGCAGCCTGCCTGCTAGCCTTGCACGCACTCGTTGCTCCCATCCATGCACAGTACACTGGCCGTACCAAGTCACCAGCACACAGACACGAGCCATGCCCCCGGCTCCTGCCAGCCGGCCTGCTGGCACGCACCATGAGGCGGATATACACGTTGGAAGTACGGTACCTTGCAAAAGGCAGTACCGCATGGTCCAGGAAGGCACGCCAGATGAAGAACGCATACCACAGGGCATACACGACCACCAGCACCAGCTGCAGGGCAGGCGCGGGTGGGGGGCGGTGGGCTGGGTGGATGGCTGGGATGCAGCAGAATGTCGGGAGTGCGGTGCGCCCTCTGTGGGCCTTACAGCCGCCAGCTCCCAATCCCCACCCTTGGTTACGCCGCTCCACACACACACACACATGCCAGCAGTACCTCCACCCTGCCGCCACCACCCCAGACAACGTCCAACGCACCACACACACACAGCACAGCACAGCAGGGGAACGCACCTCGAGGCCCTCAACAAACTGTACTATGGCGGGCTGGCTGCAATCGTACTGCTGGCTCTCGCACGCGTCCCGGTCTGCCACCACCTCATTGCGGTCCCGCAACTGCGGCAGCGCAGAGTGGGGTGGGATGGGGTGGGGTGGGGTTGCAGGGCAGGGAGTGGGAGACGGGTGGTGGGTGCGAGAGTGTGCAACAGGGGGCACGGTAGACCGGCGGGGGGCCTGCAGGGGCTGGCAGGGCTGGCTGGCTGGCTGGCTGCTGGCTGGCTGGTGTCACGGCCAGAGCAGCAGGCGCCAGGTGGGACCCTGCCAGGCACACACACACACACTTGTACAACCCGCACCACACTGCCCTCGCCCCCCCCCCCCCCCCACCACCACCGCCACCACCACCCAGCCCGCCACGCGCACACACGCAGCGCCGGCCGCCCCCCAGCCCACCCGAACCACAAAGCCGACCAACACGAGCGCTTCGGCGATGCCCCACAGCACCAGCTTGGGGGCGTGCACCCGGATCTTCTGGCGGGCAGCTACGTCCATGACCAGCTGCGGCGGGGCAGGCAGGCAGGGGGAGGAAAGGGGCGAGCGAGCAGGGAGCAGGGCGCAGGGGTGAGCTGGTGGGTAGCGCAAGCAGGCCGGCAGGCCGGCAGGCAAGCAGGCGCGCGGGCGGGCAGGCCAAGCAGGCCGGCAGGGCAGGCAGGCAGCAGGCGGAGGCGGGCCGAGCAAGACCGGCTACGGCGGCGGCGCCGACTTGCGCCGCTCCCAGCCAGCTTCAGTCAGTGCCAGCGCCGGCTCCGCAGCCGGCCTCAATCCGTGCAGCCGCCCGCAACACCTGCTGGTCAGGATCATCCGGCGGGTCGGGGCCGTGGTAGCGGCAGCACTCGTGGGCAAAGATGAGCATGGCCAGGAAGACGGTGCTGTAGGCCGACCAGCGCACCAGGCTGAGCCAGGCTGCAGCCAGGCGGCGGCGGAAGAGGAGGAGGAGGAGGAGGAGGAGGCGGGGGCAAAGGAGGGCAACGCATGGGAGCCAAGGGACGGGAGGCGGCAGGAGCACAGAGGTGTGCCCCTGGCGCCTTGCTGTGCGTGCCAGAGGCGGGGCAGCGACGCCCGTGCCGAGCCCAGGCCGGCCAGCACATGGCACCGCCACCTCCCAGGTCCCACTGATGCCATTCTGAGCCTCCCGCCTCTGCCTTTCCCCCAGCCCCTGCTGGCCCCTGCAACCCACCCATGACAGAGTCAAACCATGCGCAGCGGTAGGCGGCGGCTATGATGTAGGGAGCCCCCCAGAACACGGCCGACACAATCTGCAACGGGACCAGCCCTTGGCGGAGCTGAGTGCGCGGGCGGCAGCGGCTGCGGCTGCAGCCGCAGGCGACGTCGGCGCGAGCCGCTGGCAAAGCGCAGCGCAGAACAGCACAGCACCGGCGCAGCGGGCACGGCACAGCACAGCACAGCGCAGCACAGCGCTGCACAAGGATGGAACCTGGATGATGAGCAGGATCAGAGCATAGCGGCTGAGCGCCTGCCGGCGGTGGTTCCTGCAGAGCAGGGGCCGCCGCCGGCGAGTCACGTCGGCAGGCACAAGCGGAACGTCGGCTCCGGCGCGGGGATCGGGATGGAAACAGACAGGTGGCGATACGGCCCTGGCTGCTGCCGCTGTGCAGGGCGGCGACGGCAATGCGCATGCACGGCACGGGCGGGATGGATGCAGGATTACAGCGGGGCGGGCCCCATTCCCCACCAGTTGCGCCGTGCCTCTCGGGTGCTCCTCAGGTTGATCCAGAACCAGGCCGCCAGGGTCAGCAGCTGCAGCAGGCAGGCAATTGCGACGCAGGTGTTCGCAATGTACCTGCGCCAGGAAACAAACGTGACGGCCGCAATGTGTTGGTATCTCAAACTTGGCATGTGGTTCTCGAGAATGGCATGTTGGGCAGAACCAAAGAAGGCCACCCCCCAGCATGCTTTGGTGCACCCACCACGTCTTGTGGACGAAGAGCACCTCTGCCTCATCCGACTGAAACTTGTAACAAACCAGCACCACCACCGACGTCTTGACTATGGCGGCCGCCACATAGGCGGCCCAGCCCAGCGCCCTCGCCTCCCGGTTAGTGAAGTACTCGATGCGCAGGTAGGCGGTGTGGGGGGCCTGGGCCGAAGCCCAGGACGCAGCTTCTCTGGAGCAGGGGGCGTGCTTTGGCGGCAGTGCCGCCGCGGGCGGGGAGGCGCCGCCCGCATCGCCCGGGGCGACGTGGGGCAGGCTTGCCGAGGCGCTGTGCGCTTCTGCTGCCTCTGGTTCCGAGCTGGGCGCCCCGGGGGTGCTCATCCTTCGAGCAGGCACAGCCCCAGGCCAGCACCCACGCTATTCTGTGCACATTTCCGAGCCAAACTGATCCAGATAGCAGGTAAATGCGCCCTTTCCGCTGATTGTTTCCGGCGCTTTGGCACCGTCCACCCTGGCGGCGCTGCGTCGCGCCGCCGCCGCCCCTCCCAGGCGAGTCTCTCTCACTGTCAGACGAGTGCAGGTTCAAGGCTACATTGATTAATTATCATTAATCATCGCAGTGGTACATCAAAAATGTGCACTACACGGAGGACAAAGGGACAGAGTGGGCTACGGAGCAGAAGCTGGTAACGGACGGGGTGCGCCAGCGGCGGCCCGCCGTGGAAAAGCAGCGGCCGCATGTTGCAGCAGGCCAGCTGGGGGCTTGTGGCGTGGTCATTCCAGATCAATCACAGCA